GAACACCTGCAAAGGGAGAAAAGAGAGAAAATTTCGAGAGAGAGAGAGAGATTTCGGACAAACGTCAGCGAGTGTCCAGTTTCTCCGACGAGCCCTCAAACCACCCTTAAACCGACACCAAACGACCTGTTACTACCGTAAGAGAGATCCTTAACGAAAGCACAATAACTCAGGGTGCGTTTTGTGTTCTTTCGTAAGCGTCGTCGTCGGTAACCGAGATCGGAAAGTTAGGTTTCTTAATCGATTCTTAGATCTATGGCTTTTAGGAGCTTTTAGGCCGCAAAACTCCCAAAAAGAAAAGAAGGACGACGAACAAAGAGGAAAAGGGAACGAAGAGGACCGAAATCGGCAACGGAAACGCCGCGGGAAGGAGAGAGAAAGCTCGCCGGAAAATCGGCCAAAGTCGGGTAAGGAAGACGAGATCCACGGATCCAGGTCAACCCGAACCCAGAACCTGGGAGAGCCAGCCCGTTCCTCCCTTGGCCTCTGCCTTCGGCCCAGCCCAACTACAGCGGCCCAAACCTCAAACCGGCCTAGAAGCTACGGTTCAGTTGAACCAACCCAGACTAGACCCACGGTCCAATTGAGCCGGCCTGCAAACCAAACACTTGCGGCCCAGCCCAGTAAGCCGAGGCCCAACGTTTAGCCTTGGCCCAGTAGCCTTCCACAGCCCGCGACCCGAACCACGACCCGAACCGGACTGCGACCCGCGCTTCGACCCGACACTACCGCCCAACGTGGCTTTCTCTGCTGCTGCCACGTGTCACACAGCGGCGCGGCAGTCCTCGGCTCGGCTCGGCGCAAATGGCTTGGGCTCCCTCCGGTGACACTCCGGCGGCTCCAGCGGCTGTTCGGCTCGGCTCACCTGTTTTCAGCCCGGTTTCCACTGTTTCGACCCTCCCGGATTTGTTTTCGGCCCCGATTAAGGTATCCGAGGCCATTTTAGAGACGTATTTCACATATATTAAATTATAGGTAAATTAATTGTTAAATACTAACGGAAAGTGGTGAACGGTGTGATAGGAAACAAACCCCAGCGAAGTAGGTAGCAGCTCTCACGGAACGGGAGCTTACGTTTAGCTATTTAGGGAGTACTTCGGTCGAGGCCAACCAAGTAAGTGGCCTTACTATAGGATAGGCTAAATAAATTGTATGATGCTTGATGATATGTGCCAGTTTATAGATATTTTGTTGAGTGACGCTTAATATGTTTGACGCACGTTGTGGCATTATGATGAGCATGATGATTGCATGATTTTTACCTTAATATGATGATGTTTTCCATATTGAGCATGCTAGATGATGATGAGTGCCATATTGCATCATGTCGTTAGATCGACGTAGGACACAACCCTAAGAGCATGAAAATGATATTAATATAAATATCCACGATATGCGTTACCTAGAGTAACAAAGAGATGAGACTAGAGGGTTGTGTCAGAAGAGACATTACGATGGGTTTAGAGGGACCTCATGCATTTTGTATGTTCATAAGCATAGGGCTACTTCCCCTAGAGATGATGAGTGCGGACGCGCACCTTATGATGAGCGCGAATGCGCACAGGTGCGAAAGCACACAGATGAGGGTGTTCATGAGGCGCATGACACTATGGGGTTCCGCTGACCTCCGGACGTCGCTACAGATTAGCTTGACCAGAGGGTCCAGGGGGTGTGCGAGCGCCCTGGGGACTCACACTCGCACGTGTGAGTCGTGTGTAGGGAAGTACTACACATCCAATTTGTCCGAGACTGGAGGCCACCCCTAAGATGATTAGAGATAGGTCCCTATTCATGATTGCATGTGTTTGCACTAGCATGGCCCCTATAGTGGGGTCACTTACTGAGTATTTCTACTCAGGCCGTGTGCCATATTGTTTTTCAGGTAAAGGCAAGGCTCCCATGTACGGTTGACGGTGGCATCGTGATCAGAGACTGTGGCGCGTGCATAGGATAGTTGCATATTTAAATTTCCTAGTCTTGGTTAGGATAGGGCGTTTGCATTTCATTCATTTATATTAATTAATTTGTAATCATTTTATTTTGTCTTTTGAACTCCAGCACTATGTTTGAAACACGTAAGTCCGACAGTGTTTTCCAATGTTTTAATGTATTCTGAAGTTTTAAATTTTTCCGCTAATAAAGGTGAGCATGCTTAGATTTTTATTCTGCATTAGAGATGCGCATGAGACGTTAGTGGCGACTCTAGATATGTGGAAATTTAGGGTCGTGACAGTTGGTATCAGAGCTCTAGATTTTAGATTCTATAAACTAGCCTACGATGTAGGCTTGGCACGCTCCACGGTCCCAACGTCGATGCCCCGTCACCGTCAGGTACGCCTTGCATAAGATAAGAAAAGAGAAACGTTTTAAAACTCGCATGCATTTTTTTTTTTATGTTGACATTACTGAAATGGTTGTGATATTTCACATATTTATTTAAGAGTATGACGTCATGTGTTGCATGCTGAGTAATTTTGTTAATAGCATGATATGATGCTTAGCATGATGAATGTTTACTTCTTTGGCGTTACGATGTATTGTATAGTGTGCGTATTGATATATATATATATATATGCATAGTATTAAGGCCTTAGACTTAAGCAACCTTATATTGGTTTATAGAACCATGCCCGGAGGACGAGGAAGAGGAAGAGGAAAAGGAAGAGGAAGACGAGGAAGGGGGCGACCCCGTCGTAGAGAAGTAGGACGAGGTATGGACGTAGAGGGCCCACCTCAAGAAAGATCAGAGGTTGGGCCGGTAACAGTTACGCCACCCCTGTCTTACCACCAGTTGAGCTACCTCCTCTAGCTCCACTACAAGTTGAGCCTCCACCACCAGTACAACCTCCACCACAAGTAGAACCTCCACCCCAACCTACCCTACCACTCCAAGTCGCACCTGAAGCTGCACCCCCAGTGGGTGGAGTAGATGCTAATACTAGGTTAATGTGTGACTCCATCCAAGCCCTAATTCAAACCTTGGTAACCAATCAGCAAGCCAGTCTACAACAGGCCCAGGAACAAGCCCAAGCATAGGCCCAGGCACAGGCGTTGGCACTGGCACAGGTACAGGCACAGG